TCTCTTCTCTTCTTCTGAGTACAGATAGTTCAGTCCTCATCAACAAAAATGCTGCAAATGTGCTCTAATTCCCTGTTCCTCCAGTGGAAATGAGCAGGTTAGAGAATGAGGCATACTGCATAACGTCTGTAATGGCTAGCTGCATTCTGATTTGAAGCTTTTAAAGTGCTTTGAAAATACAGAATAGACCTGAGGAATTCTTAATGTATCTCTTTCAGTCGGTTACCAAGGAAACAAGGTTCAATTCTGTACTGTACCACAGGAATTGTCCTGCAGTGGCTCCAGTCCGATAAGTAAGTTTTCCTGTTTAATAAGAAACTGGATACAGTTATGAAATGACTTGACTACTGAGCTGTTTCTGAGAGTCTTGGCTCTGGGTTTTCATTTTGCTAAAGACAAACATTTAACTTCTTGCTCTCCCCTTTCAGGCACTTGTCGAGTATCAGTCATGTAGTCCTGGACGAAATTCATGAAAGAAATCTTCAGTCGGATGTTTTAATGAGCATTATTAAAGACCTTTTGAATATTCGTTTGGATCTGAAAGTGATACTGATGAGTGCAACTTTAAATGCTGAGAAGTTTTCAGAGTATTTTGGTAGGTGAAATGCTTCCCATGAATGTTCCTCTTAAGGAATTTAGGCCTCTACAGTATAACGCAGTTCTCAGATTTTGGGATTGAGTTTTACCAAAAGAGGCGATGACTTCAGTTTTACAAATAGCTGCTGGCTGCTGCAGATGCTTATTCCCTTGGTTTTACCGGATCGTGAGCATGTGTTGCTTCTGTGTTTGCTTTTCAGACATGCTGTGGAAACGGTGTCTCCAGACTGTTTTCATATTACTTATTTACTAATATTTACCATATATTCAAAGTTTTGGTGTGAGTGGGCAACCAGATTGAAGCCTTCAGTTCGTCAGTCTTCCAGCTTTATCCTGTAGCTGGAACCGGATGAACTTGCTGCAGACCAATGCAGCTTGCTACCTACGCTTTCTTTATTCAGCAGCTTTATATGGAATTGAATTTGGCATCTTTTATGAGAACTTTAAAAAAATAAACAGAAAAAATTCTATAGACTGGGCAGCTAAAGTGCAAAAATAGTGAAGAATGTCTAGTGCTCTGTTTCAGTGCAGGATTTTGTGTGCTGTTTAAAAACCACGTTGTGCCTTCCTCGACAGATAACTGCCCCATGATTCACATCCCCGGGTTCACCTTCCCTGTGGTGGAGTATCTTCTCGAGGATGTGATCGAGAAGCTGAGGTAAGGGTGTGTCACAGACAGTGGTTGGGGTTTTGCTGAGTGCATCTGTCCAAAGATTGTCTTGGTGTAACCTGTGGAAGAATTGGCTGTGTGTTTCAACAGAAAACCTTTCGGGGAAGTTTACTGTAAAGCAGCCAATTAAAAATGCACGTAGCTGCTGGAAAGGTTGGCTTGAGGAGGAAAGAAAACTTCTCTGTCTTTGGTGGGGTGAATTCTCAGGCTGCTAAATCAAGCCCCTTTTTCTGTTTGGTCAGACTTCCCTGTAATGATTTTGTTCGCATGGCACGGCTGGAGCGTGGCATGTTGTCCGTGGTTCAGAAAACAGCTGTGCAGCTGGCTGTCAGTCATTTCCCTTTCAAATGTCATTGCGTTTGTTGTGTAAATGTGAAGGTATACTCCAGAAAACACAGACCGTCGGCCGCGATGGAAGAAAGGCTTCATGCAAGGACACGTCAGCAGACCAGAGAAGGAAGAAAAAGAGGAGATCTACAGGGAACGGTGGCCAGAGTACTTGAGGCAGCTGCGGGGCAGGTTGTTCTCAAGTCACTCTTCTGCGTTACGTTTTCCGACAGCGCTTACCTGAGAAACACAAATCAGTGCTGTGTTTTATTGCTGCGCTTGCACGAGTGGTGTGATGGGTGGTGCTGTGGCTGACAGTAGCCATGGAAGTTGTAGCGGTGCAGTCAGCTGGCGACTGTAGAAATGCTGTAGAGCTACCACAGTCTGCTTTCGTCCTGAGTGTGCGGCCTAGGGGAGCTTAGAGCTGTTGGGTCGCTTGGTATTGCCCGTTACAGTCTCCAGCATAATGTTGGGCTTCTGGAGCTTTGGGCCTTAGTTTTCTTCTGATGAGATCTCCTCTTCTTCAGTCTTCTTTGAGAGAGATCTCACAGTATTTTAGTCTCATAATCAACATAATACAAAATGTGCTGGTTTAAAAAAAAAAAAACCACCAAAAAAGGCCCCACAACCCTCAGAAAATGTTAATATTTCTCTAGAGTGGTTTGAAACCAAGCTAAATAATTTTGCCCCTTGAGCATCTAGTAGGGATTGTCCCCTGAAACTCTCTCGATTGCCAGCATTTGAGTACTTTGGTAGTCTGGATGAGTGGATCAGTTGGATAGGCTGGCTGATAGCCCACGCAGTGCTGCGGGCTTGGGGACCAGTGGCTGGGAAGGTGCCCACCGGAGAAGGACCTGGGGGATTGGTTGACAGCAACTGAACATGAGCTGGGGTGTGCCCAGGTGGCCAAGACGCTAACTGGCATCAGGGACAGTGTGGCCAGCAGGGCCAGGGCAGGGATTGTCCCCCTGTGCTGGGCACTGGGGAGGCCGTACCTCGAATCCCGGGGTCAGTTTTGGGCCCCTCACGGCAAGACAGACACTGAGATGCCCAGAGATGTTGTGGATGCCCCATCCCTGGATGT